TTTTGGAATCGTATTCCTTGTTTTTATCATTTGATGCTGTCATCATTTTTTGACTTTGCTCTGTAATGTGTGTACATGTACACACACACATACATAAAAGTGGAAATAAAACTGTCAGTTACAGAAATTTGATCTTGCATTTAATGAACGGGTGAAATTATGAGGAAAAGTCCACAGGCTGTTAGGACACAGACAGGAAATACAGGACCAGGACCCTAGAACCAGCAATACAGAGAACCTTTTCTAAACAGTATGGCATGCTGTCCCCATAATTTTTGACAAGCACATATTTTGACAAATAAAACAGGGATTATTAGTAATTAGTTTCACTGTGAATAATGATCTTGGATTAGGAAACCAAACTTCTGTGTCTCATTGTATTTTCCTTGCACTTCCTCAGACCAAATGAATTGGATTAGATTGTGGTGCAAAGTGCTGGAAGTTTCCATTTTAAAAAATTATGGAAAGCGAAGTAAATAGAAAGAAAGCACCCGTTGCGTTTTATTGCCTTTTTAATGGAGGTTATAACTAGAGTTGTTTTCTTGTAGCTTTAAACTGAGTAGCTATGAGCAGTTACTCTTAACGGAGTCAATATGGACTAGATCCAAAAGTTTTTCAAGCAAATAGTGAGATTTCCAGCGATTTCAGTGTTCTTTTGATCAGACCCTTAATCTTGTAGAAAATGCTGGGCTTAATAGGACTATAGTGTATGTGGTACTGACTGCATATGGAGTTCACTTTTGTGTCTAAAGGAGAAGAAGATGGAGATTTACTAACTGATTTTCTGTAAGTATTGTTTTACTTCATTGTCATTCTATTCCCTTTCCAGCTGTTTTTGTATATAAAAAGTAAATCCCCTTTAAAAGGTCTGCTTTTGTGTTAAGGTACTTAAAGTTCAATGTCTTTGTGTCAAAGAGCTTTTATGAAAGAAGATTTGTCCAGGCATATCCTGTAATAAACATCAGGAAACTGCAGGGCTTGGCTAATGGTGGCAGTATAGCAAGTATATAGTTTAATTAGCTGGCTTTACATCAGCATTAATTTTCTGCCCCCCTCCTTTTTTTTTTTTTTCTTTCTTTTTTTTTTTAAATCTTTTCTATTTACTTATTTATTTTGTAATCTGAATATTTATGTCCTGTTGTGGTTAAATGGTCCTAAATAGTTTTCTGGTTCATAGGTAGTATAAAATGCATCATCCTTGGCTGATGCACTGAAGGCTGTGTGAAAGCAGATTACATCTCTGCGTGGTATTCATTGATTAAGTGTTTGAAGAGCAAAGTTGCTCATCTTTAAAGACAACTTCCTTCAGTACAAAATATATAGGAAAATGAGTATTTCTGGATTAGTTAAAAGCAAGGGCTGTCACAGAGGTAATAGGAATAACTTGTATGTTGGCCAGAAGTTTAATTAGGATTAAGCAAAACAGAAAACTAGAGCTTTAGCCTATCTGATATAAACCAAAAGTGAGAGCCCTTAAACAGTTTGAGGCAGGGAGGGAGTTTAAGGTTGTTACAAAATGGAAAGGGAAAGACAGTGAATAGTTGCAGTGGTAATGGAGAGGAGGAGCAATTACAGAAGATATCATAAAAGAATAAGGAAATACATATTCACAAAAATCCCAGAGAGAAAATTATGAAAGAAGGCTTTAGCAACTAAAAAGTAGAATATGAAGTTGTAATCCCACCACTACGTTTATTCCTGTGAATGACCAAGTGAAAACATAATACTTATTTTGGATGCAATGATGCTGAAGGTGATAATGAGCTATAACGACAGAATCACCGTCAAAGTTCTCAGGTGAAAATAGCAGGTTTTAGAAAACAATTTTAAGTGTATGATTTAATTGGTAATTCTTGGATAATTATTATTGCTGACAGTCCAGGAACAGATTATTTGAATGGACATACAGGTATATAGTTATGATCTCCCAGATTTAGTTGCACTTACGGAAGGTACAGCTTGACTCTTAGAGAAGAAATCAGGCCTGGTCAGTCAGGCTGGACATCAGTCTGGTGAGCCATCCCCTCAAGGGCACAAAGTGAGTTTCAGCCCCTTGAACAGTGAAAAATGCATTTCCACGTGACACTCGTGCTGGCTGGGACCAGGCAAAGAGAGGTTTACGGGCAGGGTTACACTGTGAGCAGCGCGACAGAGAATGGTGCCGATGGAGGACCCAGAGGGTGCTGGTTCACCTCAGGACCTGGTCGTCCCTCAGGAGAACTTCACCACAGAGTTCTCCTGCAGGCCTTCCAGCAAAAGGGAGGTTTTAATTACTTTGAAGGAGAAAAATAAAGATGTAAATGAGAAATACATGTGGTTGCAGATGCTTGCAGGTGTTCACTGTCAATGCTTTTGTTTGCTTAAAAAGTCCTCAGCCCCCCTTGCTTCTGAAGGAGGAGAAAAATTTGCTTGCAAGCTGTTTAAAAATAATTTTGTTCTCATTTATGTGGGAAGATAAATTGTGATACTCATGAAACTATTTCATTTTAATCAAGTATTTTAAAAGATGTTTAGTATTCAAGGATGGTCTGGTCCTAGAAAGTTTATCTTATTGTTCTGTGTGTCTTAGCTGTTGATCCAACCCTCAGAAAAATCAAATTACAAAGCTGCAAGCAAAGTCTTATTGTATTTCTCCACTGTGTTGCGTCGATTTCTTCTGAAGAAACCTATTGTAAGAGGCTGTGCTTTCCAAGCACTTGGACTGTCTTGTATCTCAAACTGCTAATAAATGCCAGCTATAACTAATAGCAGCATTGGTATGTGGTTCACATTAAGAACAGCAGGACTACTTTTAAAACTGGAGTGGCTGCCAGTTACTAGGAGCAGAGTCTGTCACAGCAATAGTGGGTCTTCCCAAGGGGGTGTGTGAGGGTTTCAGCCATAAATAAACCTTCTCAGACCAGAACTGTGCAGACTTTTGCATTTTGAGGTTAATTGGAGCTTGTGTGGTGCCACTCCTTACACCATCAAGCTTTAACAGAAGAATGCAGGGAAGAGCCATGCAGAAACATAGGTATCTACATTTGGGTTGTTTGCCCTGTGCAATCTGTAGGTTCATGCTTTCAACTGTGGGGATGAAAGTGGGAGAAGACTACAGCAGACATTTTTCTCTCCCCCTTTTGTCTTTTTTCAGCTACCTGTGTATCCTCTTTCCTTTTCTACTTTATTTCCATATACTTGACTCCCTCCTGACAACAGAGGTATTTTTTGACTTTCTTTCTGTCCTCCATAATGTGATTCTGTCACCATTTTATCATTTGTGGAGATGCCTTCAGACTTAGGTGGTTTGGGTTTGTCTCTCTTTGCTGGCTTGATAGATTGTACAGAGCCTACTTATCCACCCATACACTTAAATGCCTGAGGTTAGCCAGTGGGGAACATGCCTTGAACTCTCTACCACATACTTTTGCTAGACCAGCCATAGTATTTGCCTCCAATTTGATAAGTGTGTTTTAATTACATGGATGCATGTTGCTAATGAAGGAATGCAGTAAAATTTAATTTGGCTATCGTAATATGTAGAATGGACTTAGTTTTTAAGCTGAAATGGCTGTACTTACAATATTTTTTTCAGAGAATTCCATATTGAAAATCAATTTATTCAAACAAGTTTTTGCAATAGTGGAAAAGTGTATATATAATTCTAAAATAGTTGTTTGAAACTCTGGATGAAATGAAGTTTACTTGTGTTTTTCAGAATTCACAGTAAATTTCTGCAATTGCATGGAACTGGTGTTCAGTTTAATTCACCATGCACAATACATTTTTGTGTTACTAATTTTAAAATACAAAGCTTAATGTTAAGGTTAGAATTTGAATGAGATAAGTAGGCAAATACAGATTTTTTTATATACACTTAGCTTTTCACTCACTATGATGCTGATGCTTAGATACCCTATTTAATGATAGTTAATACAGTGATACTGATTTTGTCCCTGCTGTGTTCATTATTAACCCCAGAAGGTAATGGAATTCTTATTAGACTCAGTACTGGATATTAATACTGTGTCTGACTATGGTATGAAAAAAAATGAAGAAAGCCTGCAAACCTTTGTAAGTTAATTGCCTGACTTAGAAACCACTAATGTACATGAGTAACATTTACTCATGCAGATTGTCTTAGTGAATTCAAAATCCCTCAGATGGGCGGTTGCAGAATAAGGCTATAAATCATAACTATATGGAAAGTCTAAGAAATGTTAATGGGAAGGCACCCACAAGATACCATCAAAATTTAAAAAGGTTTTATGAACAGTATTTTAAAAGCATATATAATTAAATGAAGGTACTGGTCAATGTTTAAAAATAAAGAAGAACTGGAAGTTGAGCCTAATTTGCATATATATGTACATATTTTTAAAAACTCTAGAACAACCATCAGTTCACAGTAGTAATTTCTATTCTATGTGGTAACCAAAGCCACCATGTCCATGTTCCTTCACACCTATTAACCAAATTTCCTTCACACCTGTTACTTACACATGCCTTTCTCCCCCAGGTTTTTAATTTATTTATGCTGCAGTTTGGGGCTGAAGTAAAATCAGTGCTGTGCAGACACCCAAGGCACGGAGGAGCCTGGTACCCTGCTTTTACATGGCAAGCAATGCTAGGACAAACACTGCTGGGACCTGGCTCATTGCTGAGGCCATGATGGCCCACCATGTTTTCAGCTGTTTCTCATGTATGTGAAGGGTTTAGGTACACTTAATGGTGATACTAACAAGCTCCTGGCCAAGCACAGTTTCTGTATCAGGGAAAGTGACTTTTTTTTTTTTTTTTTTTTTTTTTTTTCCACCATCAGGCAGCAGGTTAAGTGGTTATTGCTCCACTTCTGGTGTAGTTTGGGTGCCTTTAGCTGGGTACAATGACACCCTGCACATGGAGTACATGCAGCTGTAAAGTATAAAGCAATTATTTATCCATCAACACACATGAAATGTAGCTGAGATTTAATAAGCTGCTAGGGAAGTAGCAGCTTGATGAAGCACCTGGGGGAAAAGGGGTTTTGGTCTTTAGGTAGGTATCAGTTGGGAGGAAAGGTCTTATCTCTCTGGTTCCATGAAGTTGCTTCTTGGTGTTGTCATCTTTCACCATTTTTCTCAGCTCTGGTAACCCAACCTGGTAGGTGTTGCTGGCCTAGCTAGATTTCCAGCTATGGCTCTTTTTCTCTTTTAAAAATATATGTATTTATTTTAGCATTATATATTTTTCCATGTTGGTGTTGTCTTTTTGGGTGGCTGGCTAAGAGGCAGGGGCACTCTGGGGAGATGTTGGATAGCAGCAACCATGAGAGATGCAGGCTGCTCAAAAGCATCCTCTCCCCCCAGTGTGTGGCCTGGGGCTTGTGTCACCTGGAAGATTATAAGCCCCTGGGAGATGTGCAGCCTCTCTCAGCCCAGTGTATTGGGCTCAGATAGGAAACCTTTCTGTCAGCCAAAAATAGTCCTCACTGCTGGCAGTGTGCTGAAGAGAAAATATACCTCTCAAGGGGTGAGCCCCAGGGATGACTTCCATCTATGTTTTTTTTTGTTTTTTTTTTTTTTTTGTTTTTTCATTTCTAGTCAATTGTTTGGCTTGATCCATCTCTCTTGCATTTGTGGCAGGTGACCAAGCATCAGAAACTGTGGTAGAATTGGCACACAGGTACTTGTGGCAGCTGAAGGGGATGTGGGGCTTGGCTGCCAGGAGTGCCAGGGTAGGTGTGCTGCCATGGGGAGGTCAGCTTGGGGACTGGGAGATGTGCTGACAGCTCCAGCAGAGAGGCCTCTGCTGTTCTGTAAGGCCTCCCCAGGCACTGAACAGCCAGAAAACCTTGCTGGATGCATCTCCAGGGCTCCCAAAGTATAATTTTGTAGGTTTACAGCAGGCTGGATGTATACTCACAATGGATGGCTTGTAGTCAGCAGGCTCTGGTGGCCTTAGCAGGGTCAAGGACAGAGGCAGGAAGGGGAGCTAGGGACGGGGTTAGGGAATGTAAGTTATGCTCTGTTTTTATGGCAGGCTTAGGTGATTTATTGGTTGTGCTTGTGGCTTTTTTAATTGCATGGGCAATACTTCTGGTCTAGTAGCTTAGTAGAGTAGGTGTTGGGTTTTACTTGGAGTGAGTCCTGTGTTTTACTTTGGCATTTGAAGTGTATATCTCTGCTTATTTTGGAAGTTGACATCCAAACAGCTTTTCTAGTGTTTTTTCTTTTTTTTTTTCTTTTTTTTTTTTTTTTTTTTTTTTTGCTTGAACCTCCACATCTGGAGGGATGTGGATATGGGCTCAGACAGAGGATGGTGCTCTGTTCTACGGGGTCTGCTTTGTGTTTCCATTAAATTTTGGAACCATTTAATATGATTATTTCTATATCTGCTTTCAGGATTCTCTCCCTGTCTAAAGCCCCTGTCATATAAGGCAGGGGGAAATGTTTTGTACTTGACTCTTCAGTGCATGGAAACATCACTTTTGTTTCTTGCCTCATCATCTGGAGAAGTGATAGCTGTAGTTATGCATGCATACATGTGGAGTTGATACCTCATATGAATGAATTCTTTCCCTCTGAGGTAGGGCATGTGATGTTTGTGACCTAACGGGACAGGCCAAATGCGATAGCAGTGGGTTTGCCATGCACAGACAGAAAGGGAGAGAAGAGAAAGTTCTCTGAACAAATAAGATGGCAGAAAGTAGTCAGAAACATGGATTGGCAGTCCTTAAAGGAAGACATTTGTGATGATAACACCTGTTATGGCCTTCAGGATGTTACTGATAAATAGTTGGTGAAAGCATACAGCATCTGTCAGAGGGCATTCTCATATGCTAGCTGTATACATACACAGAGAGGCTTCAAAGTAACATTGGGTATCTTTCTAGACAAACTCAGCAAGATGCAGGACTTTAAGCTAAAGCTTTATTGGCAGGCCACAATAATGCTGTTGAAGTAGAAACAAAAATGTGTAAAAAATCAACCACAGTAGCATTATATGGAAAGCATGCATTTAATTTAATCAAAATAATAAGTGTGTATTGTTTCATTTCTTTGCCAAGAACCAGTTTTTCTTTTTTTCTGTTTTGAACATTCTGTTATCTGGATGCCATGCCTGTGCTCTAGGGGGAGGAACAAACAGTGTTTTAGTATCTCAAACACTTTTGACTACTTACATAACAGCCTGCAAAACGTGGGCCTAGGACTTCTTCTTCAATAGCACCTGTTTGCAAAATGCATATATGTGTGGGAAATTACAATGGAATAGAGCAACCAATGCCAAAATAGAAAGAGTATAAAAGAGCGTTTTTTTGCTTGCTTAGCATTACTGTGATTTATCACATAGGTTGGTCATAGACAAAATACACTAGATGAAGCATTATTACTGTTTTGTGGGTATCAGGAATGAGTCTGTGGTTGTAATAAGGTGTGAGGGTGCTAATACTGAAAAACAGCAGACCATATCAGTGTTACGCAGGGATAACTCTTGAGTATTAGTAATGTAAATATGTTAGCAGTCCTTAATTCTGTCTAGAATATATCATCAGAAATACTACTTTCAAAACTGTCATCTGAAGATTGTTTTTCTTTGAATTGTCTTTAAAAAAAAAAAAAATCCTTTTTACAATGGTTCTTTTTTTTGGCTTTTTATCCGTATCACGTGAAACCTTCCTTGCCTATATGAAGGTAATCTACATACAGTGCAAGATGTAGAATAAACCCTTTTCTATCACGTGTAGAATACCATGTAGTCTAGGAGTTGTGTGTGTAGGTGTAGCTAAAGCAAAGCCCTGACACCTCTAAATTATAAGTGCGTTAATTGGAATATGATTAATGTTAGGTTGCCTTGAACCTAGATGGTACATGTTAAAATGGTATAACCAAAACCAATTTGAGTGTTTTGTAGCACTGATAGCATAGTTAGACAATATATGTGTATGTGAGCAATGTAACCAGCAGTGGGGTAACCAAGATAGTTTCCTACATGTAAGTATACCAAAGAGTTGAAAAATAAAGGCATTGTCTGACCAAATTCACAAGGGTGACTGGCAAAATGAAATTGGGCAGTGTTAGAAGCACATAAAGCCTCCTGTTGGAAGGGCCTGAGTGTAATAAGCAAGTTGGATAGGAACATCAAAGAAGAAATAAAAAAGCAGAGAAGAGAAACAAGCCCTTGTTTTTCTCGCTCTTCTTGCGGTTGGTCAGACCTGGTCACCTTCCCTGCAACCAAGAACCACCATCAGCATGCGTACCACGGAGCTAACTCGCAGCTCATTTAGGATAGAGGTGTGAAAGGCAGACAGCTCTGAATTGGACTAAAAATCTTTAACAAGAAAAAGGACTAATTATTAGCATGCTGCTGCCAATTGAATGAATTTAGTAAAGCTTTTTAAGTTTAAAGCTGGCCTAATCTGTTAGTGTTGTTAAGCATTCCCAGTTTGATGCACTAAGTGATGCATTGAGATAATATGTATTAAATAGTCAAGAAAAATCAGCCCTAGATGGCAAAGTTGCAGCCAAAAGGAGCAGAAGGAAGCCTCCTTAGAGGAAAGGAAGTGCTTCTGCTCTTTTACTGAGCAGAAAACTTGGAAGATCATGACTAGGATAGTTTGTGTTGGCTTGAGGACAGTTGTAGATGGAAAAAAGTAGCAAGAGAAAGGATTTGGTTTGGACTGTTGCATTAAGGACAAGTTCTTCAATGTTGTCTTTGGAAAAACTTGCACCTTCTGCTAGGCAAAAGGCTCACAAAACTGAGGCAGAACTTTGAAACAGCCTTTATGAGTTTAGCCAAAAGTCAAGGAATGATTAATAGCCAACAAAGAAGGTGGACTGCCACGGGAGGGGTGCCATTTACATAGCTCATAGTTATGTTACAATACGTGGTTCACACTGGAAGTTAGTGGGGTAATCTGTTGGAGCAGCTGGTTTGGCTTTGTTTAGATTTTTTGCTTGTGCTGATCAGCTCCCCTGCTAGGGAGCTGGGAGTCTGGGGCCTTGGCCTGCAAAGATGTTGGATTGGCCCTCAGAAAGGTGGCTGCTCACAGGTTGGTCTGCTTTCAAACGGTTAATGTAAGCATCCAAGGTATACGTTAATTACCATTCTGTCAAACAACTGAATTATTGCCTGGGAACATTACATGTTTACACAGAGGGAAGCTTTGCGCAATGAAAATGCAGGCATCCTTTTTCTTCCGTAAGGATATGATCACCTTTTTTTAAACAAGTCTGTTACAAATAGAATATGGAGCAGTAACCTTTGCTCCCAAATGTAGGCAGTAATCTAATTTGAGCTGTGGAAACTGACTTCTTGAACATTTGGTGCAACTTCTAATCCTTCTGGAGAAATAATTGTGTGTTAATTAAGAGGCAGAATTCCACAAGGCTTATTAGCTGTCTAGCTGGATCTGAGAAGCAGAAGGTTGAACAGAGTTTAACTAAAATTTAGAACTGTTAATTAGTCTCCTTTCTTTCTGGTTTCCTTTCTATTTTCTTGTTTTTAGTTTGTGTAGCACACTTTGAATGACCCGTGAGAAACTACTGTGCTTCTGACATGATAGCTCCCAATTGTAAATGCTGTACTTTACTGGCTGTGAAAGAATAAAGCTTTAAAAGAGCTTGGCTTCCCTTAGCTACAAGCTAGCTTGTTATGGAAGTAGAAATGACAGAAAGTGGAAAAAGCAGGCTGGCTAATCTTGTTAAATTGGCTGAATAATGTTGCATTCAAGATTCCTGAACTCCATGCTGGAACACACAGATGCTTTAATAAACTTGAGATGACCTGTCTCACTTTAGCAGTTTTTACAGGGTTCAGAAAATGTTTGATAGGTGAATGGAGACTTAAGCATGAAACTCTTCCTCACAGACCTGCATTTAGATAGTTATCAATATGGGGATTTGTGAACATGTGAAGGTTTTACTTTGCTGATGTGTGCCTGGGCGAGATCAGGGAGGGAGAAGTAGACCCGTGAAACCCATATTAGTGTCTGAAAGCTTGTTAGACAGCATGCATAGAGATGTGAACTGTTCTCTGGATTTGTGTTTGGATATTATGATTAATATCTTTTTTTTTTTGAAGGGGAGGGGTGAGAGGGATGCTAGCAGGCGGTATGAAACTCCCTGGGATTCTGGTATGCTGGGAGGTGAGCTAAGCAAAAC